CACTATAAACCTGCTTTCTGGACCAGAGTCCTGCTGTAGATCCTGTGCTTGTAGGATGTCATTAAAGGCTCTTTCTATCTTTTAGCTTTGATTTGGACTTTTTAGTTTCATTTCTGCTGCCTGTCTGTCCACATCTAAACTCTGGAGATTTTAACTCACTGAAGTCCTCCTTCCCCTGGACAACCACAACCCATTCTTGTTATAGAAACCAATCAGGACATCTTTGTCAGCGTCATGTTTGAATTTATTCATCTTTGGGGGTGTGTGATCTAATCGTGGTTCGTGTTCGACCGCCTCCTTTTTATCATAAATCACACCTGAGGTTTTTTGCTCTTCCAGGACTTTACCTGCTTCGCTTGTTCGGCCATCATGACTTTTATTTCTCCTCACACAGAGTGCAGAGAGAGAACTTGTGCTTCAGGCCAGCATTTGTTTCAGCTGCTGTATTCTATAGGTTCTTTCACTGTGTTCCACTTTACACAGGATTGTTCATTTGTTTGTGCTGAAGTCTGATTTAAACATTAGAGTTTCCACTTTAGTCATTTGTTCAATGTCAAAATCCCACAACAATCCAGTTTGGTTTCATATGTGGAAACCAGAATAAAACCAGCATGTGATTTTCCTTTTTTGGTTTTAAATCAAAACAGAACACAAAAGAACATCAAACACACCAGTTCAGTTAGTTTCTCGTGTCGCAGTCAGAAACGAGGAAACAGAAAATAATGTCCTATTTGTTCGTTGCTGCGTCTTTGGATCAAATCCACTAACAAACTATCAAACGTCTGATCAGCTGAACTCACCAGAATCTCCGTCAGTTGTTGAGGATCAACAGTTGAATCTTGTTCAGACACAAACACAGACATTATTCAGGACTGCTGCTCTGCCGTTTCTCTGACATACTGTCACTCTCATGTCGTTCTGCCTCTACCTGCTGCTGTTTGTCGGTTTGTTTCCTCCTTCAGCTTCACACATGAATAAAGTTACAGAGTTCTGGAACAGGACCGGTTCAACCTGTACGGACATGTTCATGGGCGTGTTATTGTAGCAAGACTATTTATCAATGTGTATAGAGAGCTGTGTGTCTGTTGTGACGTCTGTAAATCCGTACCAAAATATTAAAAGATGAAAAGTGTAAGCATTTAACTCCAAGTGCTGGAAATACAGACAAATCACCAGCTACAAGTCCAGCAGGCCTCACCATTCTGGCTGCGTACCGCTCTGCTGCTCTGTACCTCAGTAGTTATGCCGAATGGAGCAGCCTGTGAGCCTGAACTCAGGGCACTGGAATAACTTGAAACTGACAAAAGTAATGATAAATAAAAACTGACTGAAAACTAACTCATGAAAATCAGACGTTGCTTCTTTCTATGTTATGTTTGTTTGTTATTATTTTGTTGATGAAGAAAGGTAAACAAGCAACATGTGAAAGGAGCAGCGAGGACGGCGGTCACTTCTGGTCAAGAGGGTTGAATAAGGCGACACGAGGCCTCAGAAGAACAACATCCAGACTGACCCTCTGGGACGGTTTTTGGGGGATTTTGCAGCCGCGACCAGTTCAAGTATCGACACAAAACAACAGCAGCATCCAACGGAGAACTTCAACCGAGGACTTATAGGTGCTCACACACACAGAGAGAGAGAGAGAGAGACTGGGAAAGGACATTGTGTGACGGCCCGTGTACGGTGGCTGTGCGGGCGGACCCGAACGAAAAGGGGAGGCAGGAGAAACAGGTTATAAGGAAAAAGGGTTTTATTAATAAGGGTGAGGGAGTGGAGGTCACCGGGGACAGGAACCAGATGCAGGAGTGTCAGTCGAGGGGGGTGCAGGTGGAGGTCTGTCTGTGCCGGGATCCGAGGAGGGGGAAGTGCCGCCGAGGTAGTGCTGGAGAGGGAGGCGTGGAGGAATCCAAGGACGGTGCTCAGGGGACGGTGCTCGAGGTGCTTCTTCCCGGTGACGGTTTTCCCAGTGTTGGTGCTCGTAGGAGAAGAACTGAAGCGGTGGGCTCCGTGGTGAAGCTGGAGAGGGTTACGGCTGGTGTGGCTCGTGAGACGCTGGAGGCTGGAGTCGAAGAGGGAACGCTGGAGGCAAAACAAAAACACACGAATTACTCGAGACTAGAAAACACTTAAACCTAGATACAATGCTTCGCTGAGGAGAGCAACTAGGCGGCCTGGCTGTACCACAAGGATGAATCACAATCATCTGGCGCTGGAGATTCACACATTGAATAACCACATGTGCCTTTGGCTGATGTTCAACTGTTTTGTATTGAACTTTCCAAGCAACAAAATTTTTTTTTTTTTTACAAACAATAGAAATAAGAAACTTCACACAGTTAGTGAAGCCAAATCGAACTATTTCATTACTTTCAACTGTTTCAACTGTCAATCCATATTGATCACTAACACAACAAAGAAATGTAAGTTTTTGCCAGTTGCCTGTTTAATCTTTGGCAGTTTCACCACAAGTTTGCAGCAAAGTCATTGTTCACATACAAATATGGGGCAAACTTGCAGCTGACGTCTGGCTGACTTTGAGGGAAACTTACAGCAAAAAACACATCTTCAATTCTATTTATTTGTTCCAGATTTGTTGGAGTGATTACTGTCTACAGACTTGAGGGGCTGCGCCCTGCACGACTTTTGCCAGTCTGCTGTGTCCCGTCTCCATATGTCCTGTAAGTTTGTGAATCAACGGCTGGTTGGAGCCAAAGGACGAGCGGTCTGGATTTTGGTGTATCACAATGCAGAAGATAGTACACAACCGCTACAGTAGCACAGAGGAAACTTCAACGCTGTGTCAGTGGAGCTCCAGGAAACAAGGAGATCTCAGTGGAAACTAAAGCAGAGTTCAGGCTGTCAAGCTGTCCTCTGGCAACACGTCACTCCGTCTACTTTCAGCTGCACAGAAACCACATCCACATATTTGACAACAGTCATAGCCGACATTGTCCAAAGACTAAATGTGTGAAATGTTGAGATACCAGAGCGTTCAGTGTGAGGAAACATGAGCCAGACAAGCCGTCTCCTCCAAATCATCACCCTCTACAACTAAACTGCATCCTCAGATACGCTGTGAAGGAAACATGATTTTGTCTGAACATAAATGTCATCTGTGAGCTGTGACGTGGTGGGAAAGGCGTCCAGTTAGAAAGAGTGACAACATCTGAGCTAGGAGGACAACCAGCAGCTAGACTTTGACCCTGAAGACCAGAGTTCACGTGCTGTGATGGACCAAAGAAGCTCAGAGTCTGAATGAAGCTTCATTGTTGTCTTTTCACGTTTTCACTCTGGTTCTGGTTCAGTTCAGGAAAACATCCGCCTCTGTCAGACACGTTGACATGTCAGCAGCTTGGTTCAGTTTAGACTCTGAAAGATGGACTGGTTTGACTTGAAATCTGATCATTTAAGATAAAATAAGATAAAACTTTATTCTTCCTGAAGGAAATTCTTGTGTGTCACAAGCAAACGTAATCCAGCAGAAAAGCCGTTGAGAGTTTAGACTGTAAAGCAGCACATGAGGAAGATCTGAATGAGGCTTATTGACTCATGTCAGCGACTCACAACATCATTTTCCAAACACATTGTGTTGCTGTTGTGATGCACAACTTCTGTCAAATCCTGTAATGTGACAAAACATGACAAACTCTATTTCAGGGGACAGTTGGCACTTTATGATGCATCCAATTATAAAACTGCACGACTCATTAATTTTGAAGTGAATCCACTTCAGACTGTTTTAAAGCATTAATGGTTCTGTAATGACAATCTCAGCAAACCCCTTTTAGTCTGCTGCTTGACCACTACTGATGGCTGGGTTGGTTTTAGTCTTGACACATGCAGATGAATGATGATGAGTCGAAGTGGATTCAGTCGGTCCCACTGACCATTTATTGCATTTCTTGTTCTTTGAATTACAAGTCAAAAATAAAATAAAAACGTGTTAAATCAAAAGTCTTTAAGAAAGCCTGGTTCCTTCGTGCAGCCACATGGTCAGAAAACGGTTTGCCTTCCTCAGCCACACATGATGCTGTGGCAGCTCCTTCTTAAGCCTTCTCCAGTGGGCTCCACCTCCAACTTCCTCAGACAGGTGGAGTTAGACTCTCCGGCCTCCTCTCGGTGGAGTTAAACACAATCATGACAACTCATTCCCCCACAGGCACACATGCACCTGTACTGTCTCCCTCTCCCACTCACATCCACACACCAACAACAAGAAATAACATTAACAGCTCAATTTGGCTCCTACAGGTTCTTTCTAAAAATATTACAAGTCAGAACTCAGAATGTCTTTGAAGTCTCTGGATGTCAAACAGGAAGGTTAGAAACGGAGGCTAAACACAAGGAAACTCAGATATATATGAAGAGCAGCAACATTCCCCACCAACAGAGAAATGAAAGTAATGGAGTCCTCTGAGCCTCACCGCTGAAGATCTCAACAACTCCTGAGACACACATTCATGTGCATTAATACATATATCAGTGATTTATCTGATAAACTGGACCCAGTTCACTTTTTGTCCAGTACGACACGTCACTGACGTCCTTCCTTCATCTTCTGAAGTTTAATTAATGTGTTTGTGAGAATTACAGCATCCACATGTTGGAAATATTAGAATATCAGACAGTTGAACAAAGACAAAGGAATCATTTGAGCAGCTGAAGGTCAAATGTGGACACTGACATGTTTACATCTGTCCAGGTAAGAAGACATTCAGACAGTATAGAAGAAGTCAACAAGTGAGCTGCAGCTGCTTCTTCAACATCTGTAAAAAAAAAAAAAAAACTCTCTACACGTCTTTTATTTTCATCTGAATATTAATGTTGTAACATGTGAGTCTGAATATGATCAACCTCCAGTAATCATGTGAACATGAACTGCAGTTCTCCATCAGTCACAGTGTGGAGCTGCAGCACTAAACTACACACTGATAACACACTGTACACTGGTTCCCAGTCCACCTCCCAGTAACACGGCCCAGTCAGAGTCTCTATACACCAGCTGCTGCTGCTGCTTCAACCTCTGGATCATCAGGACACAGTTCATCCTCTCAGCACAAACACCTTCCTGATCAGCATCACCACCACCTGCAGAGAGAAGAAGAAGGAACAGAAGAGATCAATGATTCTGATCAGCTGATCCTGACTGTGTTTAGTAGAAAACTGCTGAAAGCAGCAGAGACTGACTGGAACCTTCTACTGACCTCAGAGTCTTCAGGCTGCAGTCTGGACTCTTCACAAGATCTAACAGATGTTTCACTCCTGAATCCTTCAGGTTGTTGTTACTCAGGTCCAGATGTTCCAGATGGGAGGGGTTGGACTTCAGCGCTGAGACCAGAGAATCACAGCTGATCTCTGACAAACTGCAGCGCCTCAGTCTGAATAAAGAATAAAAGATGTAGATAAAATCAGTGATGATCCATCAGATGTGTTCAGGTTCTG